AGGTAACATTAATTATGATTTTTTATTATTATCCGTTGTAATCTATTGATACAACGATGATATGTTTTATTGAGAAATATTCATTGTCCTAGAGCGGTACAATGATGTTATATGAGAATTATCCATTGTACTATAATGATACAATGATGGTATATATTTTATTGAGAATTACCCGATGTACTATAGGGTCACATCGATGTTATATTTTATTGAGAGTTATCCGTTGTATTGTCGGGATACAACGACAACATCTGAGTATACTCACATGAGATAAATTAAAATAGTGGATATCCATTCACCCTTAAAAGTGGTGCAATGATGTTTGGGAATGGAATTATTTCCATCAATTTTGTGAAGTCAGAAGGAATTAGCTACTCCTTTGACAAAAGCTCTAGGATGAAAATTGATAATCGAAACATCGAAGGAAATGGGACTAATGTCACCTTGAAACAAATGGGGATGAGAACCCAACTTGTGTGATTGGAGATCCCATGAAGCAAGTTCAAATAGGTAATAACAAGTCTTCCATTTAGTTCTGGTAGTCTAACTAAACTTGTCCATTTCCATGATGTGAGATATAGGCTAGAAAGCGCATTCTTTGAGAGGTTGGGCTAAAAGCTCTTAATGATTATCATAGCCCTTAATTTTAGGGTGGTGTGCAAAAGTGGTACACACTTGATGATATCACCTATATGAGTGTGAGGTGGGACCGCCTCCATGAAGCATGACAAAACTTCTAGAGCACTCATGAAAACCAAGCACGCGCATGGCCTTACGGCGCACAACGGCGTAATAACGAGAAATTGTGCGGGGTGAAACACGACCGTTAAGACCCTGATTTACCAATACTAGCTTGTTAGTTAAAGAAACTATACGTTTCACCAAAAGCTCGGTTTATTAAGACTTAATCGTCTCGGTTGGGTTTCAAGTCTACGGACACCAAACTTAAAGTCTCATTCCTTTAATCCAACAGATATTTTTCTAAACTAATTTTTCAAAATTCTCAACATATTCATTTGAAATATGTGGGGGATTGTTGGAAAAATTGAGAGTATTTCAAATGAATAAATTATCTCTTATTATCTAATAATATTACATTACAAATCAATATTATAAACTAGATATTTTTGTATAGTATTTAAAAAAAAGGGTCATTGAGTTCTTCCAAATAATAAAGTTAAGAACGTTAATATGGTCATTCACTTTGGAAACATTAACAATAGGAGTCAAGAGTGTGATCCATAACGTACGTGCAATGATGGTTTTTTAATTTAATTATTTCAATATTCAATCTAGACATTGAGCAGATTTGAAACAACAAACGTACAACTGCGGCCAAAACATAATTGACTTGTGAGCTGCTAGCATTATTGTTTATCAAAGAAAATCAATAACGCTCCAATGTTCATAATTTTAATGCTCATTTGAACGTTAATTTTGTTGAAATACAAGATTAAAATGTTTTGTTACAGTCGTTTCTCATCTGGCCATCAACCATCAAGTTTTGAACGCAATATATATATATATATATATATATATATATATATATATATATACATATATATATACATATATATATATATACATATATATATATATACATACATATATACATATATACATATATATATACATATATACATATATATATACATATATACATATATATATCTATACATACATACATATATATATATATATATTCAGCCACCTGACTGCTTATTGAGGGTGAGAACAACTTTAACATTTTCCCCATCAAACACTACACTCTCTGCTGGAGAAATATTATTTTTACTCTCCTTGTTCTGTTACCGGCTTACGCCGAAGATCTCGTTTTATATTGGGTAAAGATTTTCGCTAGTCGGAAATACTTTCTTGAGGACGCCGTTTACGCGACTCGAGCTATATTATTTTCTAACGCTTTTTGAAGGTTTATCCAACTAATTTCCACCAACATGTTGGGGTGGAAAAACTTGATTGCTAACCTAAAAAACAAACAAATAGAACATTTAGCAAAACTCAACTTAAGAGTCATTGGTATAAGATGAACAAGGAATGGAAAGCTTATAATGAGGAAAGAATCTGATGGGATCATATTACAAAGAGTGTTGACGCTACACCGGATTGGTGGACAACTGTAATACAGGTATTTATTAATGGTAGATTCTATGGTACCCATAAGGTACCCTACCTTTATCCACATGGACCAATGAAAGTGTTGCAGTTGAATTATTTAAGTCTAAATTAAAAATGATATATCCATTTGGACCAATCAAATGAATGGTATGCGAACAAATCTTTCATTTATTTTTGCATAAAGCATACTTGAGTGCAATTTTAAAAATTTCAGCGCTACGAAGTTTTGAAATGCAGCTATACTAAAATGCAGTTTTTATATGACAGTTTTTGCATACTAGCCGCAATTGATTTTTTAAAAACAACATATTTGAAATGGGGTTTGTTTATTAGTGCAGGTTTGAAGTTAGTCAAGTTACAAGTTACATCTTTAACAATTGTTTGTGTTCATAAAACCAGAACTTTTTAAAAATACTTTGTGTTAGTAGCTGCAATGTGTTTTTAAATTGCAGTTTTTTAAGTTAAAAGTTGTATTCTTATTAACGGTTAGTTGATGATGAAATGCAACTTTTAAAACAGATTCTAAAATAGTTGTAGTCTATTTTGAAGTTAAAAGCAACACTTTAAGGGCATGTTTGATAGCAGCTGCATTGGCAGGAATGGCTGAAAAGTCTGAAAAGACTGAATTTGCTGAAGTGAAAGTGTTTGGTAATATATTGACTGAAATGGCTGATTTAGTGTAAAATTACTATAAAGGGTATTAGCTTATTTGTGTTAAATATATGGGTGTGAACTTTACTAATAAACTACTTTTGCTTGATTAGGTAAATATAAGACTACTTAAATAATTGATTACTTTGGAAATTTCTTTCTTACTCTTACGTTGAATTTTATATTGTTTTATACAACTATTTTCTAAAAAATGCATATTTTCAAATGAGCAACATTAGTATTATATTTTGTGGTGTTGGACGTGTGTGGTTGGTGAGGTTTGGTTTAATAAGAAAAGCCAAGTTGTTGTATGTTATTATTGATGGTTTTAGTTGTATAAATGTTGGTGATTGGGAGTGATGCTCAAAATTATTGATGTTGTTGTCGTTCTAGAAATTGAAGTTGAAGCGATGGGTTGTTTGAAATAATAAAGTTATGATAGTGATGGTTTATTCAAAATCATAGATGTTGACTGTGTGGATTGGTGTGTGTTTCGAATCATTAAAGTTTGGTGGATGATTCGAGATAATAGATGAGTGATGATTGGGTGAGTTGTTCGCATTAAAAGATGTGTGATGGGTCGATGAGTGGATGGTTTGAAATTTGAAATATTAAATGTGGATGGTGGGGTATGTACTTAATAAAGTTGGGAGGGTAAAGTTTTGGACTTTTGGCTATTGCCATACTTAGACTTCACTTTAGGTCTCTAGAGTCTTCTTAAAAAATTTATTTTGAAAGAAATGTTTTGAAGAAATAAATTAAATTTTACGAAGTGCGTTATGAAGAATGTGTGAGGTCTCTAAACTCTTCTTCAAATAATAAAGGCATACTTTAGACATAAAAAATCTGGTGCCACTGTGCTAGTTTTATGGAAAATGTATTACAAGTTGTAGCGAGTCGGGCCGGGTCACAGGCCGGATGGCCCGAACCGAATCTACCCCTAATTTACAACCATACTTGGACTCGGGCCGGGCCGGGGCCGGGTCGGGCCGGAGGTTCTGAATAGCTGGACCCAGGAACGGCCCGGGTAGCCACCGGGTCCGGGCCGGGTCCGGGCCTCGGGTTTGGTTAATTTTTTTTTTGCTTACCTACCCATCCCTGACCCCACTCACCCCCCTCCCCAAAACCCCCCAAACCCCTCCTAAACATCAAGCCCAACCCGGGTGGAGCCCAAACAAATGAAAAAAACCAAAAAAAAAATCAATTTGGCCCGAACCAGGCCTGGGCCCGACCAGACCGGGCCGGGCCTTGTTTTGGGTGACCCGAGCCCGGACCGAAAACTAGGGATGGATTCGGGCCGGGTCGGGCCCGGGCCGGGCCTAGGCCCGGTCGGGCCGCCGGTTCAAGAAAAGTGGGCCCGAGACCGGCCCGAGGGTTGGACGGGTCCGATTCGGGCCGGGCCACCCGTCCGGGTCACGGGTCGGGTCCGGTTCGGGCCGGGCCACCCGCCCGGGTCACGGGTCGGGTCCGGTTCGGGCCGGGCCGGTTAATTTTTTTTTATATAATTTATATTTTATAGTTTATAGTTTTATACGAGTATTAAAAACAAACTTCAATTGCATTTATTTGAAATGAAATAGGAACTACATTTGAAAATTAAAACAAACTTTAAGAGATAAAGATTTTGAAAATTGTAATCAATCGGAACTTCCTGCACCTCCCGATCTTTTGGCTTTGTCACATGACTTCATATGCTTGATTGCCATCCCGAATCCGCCTGAAGCCCCCATGATAAATTTTTTTCGCACCATTTGCAAATTGCGTACCACATCCCGGTCTTTGGGTCCTTCTGCTTATCAAAATTATACCGTATAATGGCATTTTGATTTTCCATCTTAACTTCTTGGAGAAGAGAATTAGAGAGTAGATATATAATATATTGGAGAATAAGAGAATTAGAGAGTAGAGAGTTAAGAATAGGATTTAGGAAGAATTGGAGAAGAGATATGAAAAAATGTTTAAGATTAGGAGTATTTATAGGTTTTTTTACCCCCCACCCCCACCACCCAACCCCCCCGGACCCCCCCTTTACCCCACCCAATGGCTATATAGCCGTTTGGGTTGTCCCCATCCCCACCCCCAACGGCTAGTAGGAGCCCAATCCAAACAAATTTTTTTTTAAAATTGAACCGGACCCGGACCCGGGCCCAGGCCCGACCCGGCCGGGTCGCAATAGTGCTGAACCGAGCCCGCCCCGCCCCTTCCCACCGGTTCGGGCCCATACCCGGTCCCGGACCGCCCGACCGGGCCGGTCCCGGGCCCGCACAGTACCGGGTCGGGCCGGGTCACGGGCCGGGTGGCCCGAACCGAATCCATCCCTACCGGAAACCCATCAGGTCGGGCCTACCCGGACCGGTCACTGACCGGCCCACCGGTTCGGGTCGGGCCAGAACAGTACCGGCCTCGGGTCGGTTCCTGGTCGGGCCACCCGACCCGAGTCTAAGTCTAATTACAACACATTTTAATTTTTAACAAAAAAACATTTGCTATCCGGTCTGATCTGGTCTGAACTGGTCTGATTTTTTGTATTTTTATAACTATCCAAGTCTGATCTGGTCTGGTCTGAAGTCTGAACTGGTCTAGTCTGATCTGGTCTGGCCCGGGACGAATTACAGTCCAAGTAAAATCATCCTTAGAATGAATATAAGTTTAACAATTCGAATTCTTCATACTTCTTGAATGATTTTAATAATAATTTCTTCATAGTCTCTCTCCAAATTTATAACTTTCAAACAATAACCTGAACCAAATTTGAATTGTCCATACTTCTCAAGTGATTTCCTTGGCTTCCCCTCCTACGACTAACCTTGAAAGCTCTCCCCTGCCCCTTCATTTTTACCAAATGAATGAAATTTAGTAAAAAGGAGAAAACCTGGTCATGTTTCCAGAACAAGGCCGGGACTGATCAATTTTTTAAGCGAAAGATGAAAACCAGATTCTAGTTTTAAGCCAAAACCAACACTAATAGTGGACTCAAATTAGTTCTGGTTCTCATATAGATCCAAAGCGGGCCAGAAGAAATCCGAGTTCCAGGATTTTTTACACTAAAAACTGGCCAATAAGCAGACCAGAAGGAAGTGCTATTACCGAACCGGAAGGATGTTTCAAACTGGATAGTCCAATACCGAACCTACAACAACAACAACATCCAAATCTTTGTCCCAACAGATTTTGGAGTCAGCTAAAATGAATCGATACATGATATCAGAGTCAAAAGAAAAAGAAAGATAATATAAAATAGAGATAGATGTGCATGAAAATGATGGGATAAAAGGGGTAAAAAGTATATACATAAAAAGAAAAAGGGATAAAACAATAAAAAATAAAAACATAAGAAAGAAAAGGAAGACGAAGGGAAAAGGGTGATAAGAAACAAAAGGGAGCATGGGATGCAACACGAGTACTTCCCTTGGGGTCACCAATCCTTGTACTACTCTTTCCCAAGCACACTTAACTTCAAAATTCTAATGGGATCCGATGCAACACGAGGACATCCCAGGGGTCTCCCGATGACTTATCCAGCATAAAATATGTAAACCCAGCCAAATAAAAGTGCTAAGCATACTTCTCCCATTTATTATTTTCATTAGTTTTCTATTTTCCATTTTGCCACTCCCATTCATAACAACATTCTATCAAACATAGCGTTTAAAATTTAACTGTAAAGCTCTGATAGATGGAAAATAACTGGAGCAAAAGAATTATGGAAAATAAAAAACATAACACGCCATCATCCCCATTAGTCAAGATTCAATAACCTGAATTATCTATATGCATAGTAGAGACTGGAGACTTCAGTTTATTCGTTTTCTCTTTGGCGCATCACATCTGAGACAAAAAGGAGGGATTTGAACTCGACCCCACTACCTACAAATAGCTGGCTACCCCCAAACTGGACTCAACAGCTCAGTTATGATGAACAAAAAAATGTTTATCCGCCAAAATTTTCTCCACTCAAAGAAAATACAACAGCTTAAAGAGGTGTAAACAACAAGAATACCAACAATGGTGTTAGATAAGGGCGGCGACCCCAAACTGTTGCATCTCTCTAAGCCGCCATAGAGGAGGATGAACATCTTCTGCATCCACAAGTTCCATTGCCCATGCATAGTACACTGTGTGAATTGCATCCTGAACCACCTCACAGAAGAAATAGGTCAGAAAGCAGTTTCATGGAGAATCGGAGTAGGATAGTGTTTGGGAGTGATTTAAAAACATGCTTTGTGATTTGACAATGATGTGTTTTTAGAACAGTGTTTGGGTAGCTGTTTATCCTTTGACAGAACTTTTAATTTTTTGTCATGATAAACTTTATTCTGAAGTGTGAAAAAATAATGATTGTATGAAAATGCACTTTCTAGAAAATAATAAATAAATGTGTTTCCATGGCTTGCCTTTCCCCCTTCAGTTATGGAACCCAACTTATCGCGTAGACAATAGACCTGCTGTGTTTGGAACTGCAGAAATAAAAAGACAAAAAAAACAAACTTAGTATTATTGGCAGAATCCATTACTGCGTATATTTTATCCAGATGCTAAAAATGTGTGCCTCACCGCTAAAATGATGATAGGAATTTCTCCCATCAATTTTGTTTCACGGACTTCAGCTTCAGAAATATGAAGGATCTGCAAACATATAGAGGGGAATCGAATCAGTGAACCAAAATTACCGTGCACGGTGAAAGAGACAAGCATTAGCAAGTACGGAACCTCAAGCTTCAATTGGAAACAATCTTGTTTACACATCTCTTGAAAGTGGGGGGAAAAGAAATGTATTTGGCAGTACTGTTTCTATTTTTAGTTAACAAAAAATGTATATTAAAAATTACTGGAAATGCCAGTCTCATATCCTTTCCAATGTATAAAAAAATATTAAAATTACTGGAAACACCATTTTTTCTAGTATTCTTCATTTTCAAAAACATGTTTCCACTTTTGATACTATTATTATTATAAATAATATAAAGTATATTTCTATTCTAAATAATATAAAGTATAAACTACATGTATAAATATGATCTGTCAATTGGCATCATGTTGTACACTTCATTTTCTTACTTTGTTATCAAAAACATAACCCTGGGACTTGAAAGTCCTATGCTCTGCTTTACACCTCTCAACCATCGTAGAGCTACAATATTTTTGAAGTACTTTGATGTCACCCTAAAGACAGCGTGAGAATAAATTAAAATGCATTAAAGAAAAAGAACTCATTAATGTAAAAGATATATGCATTGAATGAGGCAAGGCTTTTTAAGGTATAGAGTCAACTCACTTTATAAAACGCCTCAAGGACTGGTCTGATAACTTCTTGGACCTCAGAAACAAAATCTGGTAATGAGAATGTCCTAAAAGAAGACCGACTTCAGATTAACACTACAAGTCATTGTGAAACCATGGACATAGGAAAAATCACTTTTAGGTCTTCGGTTTTTCCCCTGCTTTAGGTGCACAACTGTGTCACTTTTAATTCTTTCAGGCACTTATCTGGCCAATTTTTCATTTATTTTCACAAGATAAGTGATTGGAAAGGATTAGATGTGGCAAGATATTTATAGTTGTTCACCAAAAGCGAAAGGAATGAAGGTGGAAGACCAAACATGAGAATGAGCAAGTAGTCATGGACAAAAAGGGAAATTTTCCATAAAATAAGGGGGGGAAACGAGGTAGTTAATCATACGGATCTCTCCGGCGTATTTCCTTAAATGACAATGCAGCGCTTGATTCCCCAAAGACGGTTTCATTTAAACTGTAACATCAAAGTGGAAAATTAAAACAAACATATAAAGTACTTGCTATTAGAACTTAGAAGCCTAAATATAGGACAATCAAAAATCATAACATACTCTTGGATTTTGTTTACCACAGGATGATCACTGGTCTCCCATCTTTCCCGAATATCTTCTGCAATCTGTCCATTTCAGTCAGCGCATGAATCAGGACACTGATTGATAGAGAAAGAACAAGCCATGGGCCCTACTGCCTTTAGAATCTTCTCTCTCCATGGGAAATATAATGGTAAAGAGGTGCTTTTACATCATTATATTATTATTTTTAAGACTTGTTTTTTAATTAAATGGTAAATCTGCAACTTTAGCAATAGGCCAAAAGCGCACATTCTTCTCTTATTTTTCCGTCTTATTTCTCTTCTTCCAAATAATTCACATAGATCTACCCTCCCGCAATTTCCTTTCTTCTCACATCCTTTCTTCTCTACATCACATGTTTACCAAACAGAGTATAACTATATTAGGATTTTTTGGTCAAAAAAACACTATATTAGGATTCAGTGGTTTAACAAACCTCTTGACTCTTTGTAACCACGGGTTCACTTGCTCCCCTGATGTGCTTAAAGATGCGGTGACCTTGCATCTGAGAATAAGTCACATAAATCTTCAAATTTTATATAGGACAATAAAATAAGTTTGGAATGCCATTTTCCAAAGGAATAAGTGTTTTTTCATAGGAAGAGAAGTACTCACTTAAAAAAAGTGTTTAGTGTGAAAATGGAACAAGTGCTTTTGATGAAAACTGAAAAGAATGAAAAGAGCAATTTTTTTGTTTATCCGAAAAACTTCTGAATGGATGCTTTTTGGGGAAATGCCTTTAGGATATGTATGGATTGAGGGTTTTGGAGACGTTTGAAGGGAAAGGCACTGTAGGGGTTAGTGTATATCTTGATATGTATCTGATATTTTATAAAAACAGAAAGATTAACATAATATGTGATCATTTTGCATTTCAAATTACCTTTTATTCATTTTCACAAACTTACTATTTATTATCAAGATATATACCAAGCCTTCTCATCCAAACCCCTCCAAAAGCCTCCATCCAAACAGATCCTTAACCTCGGGGGAGAAATCGTTTCTTAAAATAAGTCATCCCAAATGGTTCTACATATAGTGGCATGAGCGAATTACTTTTTCCTTGAAAGCTTCCCATTTCCTACTCCATATGGATTCTTTTGAGGGCAAAATAGTGACATCGGTCCTTGTGCTATGCTGAACGCTCACTTTGGGGCCGGACTCTATGGGGGCTTCAAGGTGTTTCCTCTTTCTTGCAGTACCTTTCAACTCATCCGCGATAATACCATACCCTTTCTTAGCTAAATCAACTACTTTTGCTTCCTTTAATTTTTGTATGGATGGCAAGACCTTTGAAGAAATTGAAGAAGCAGCATCCTTAAACTTTCCATAGACTGTTTCATCTTTGGGTTTTGAGCTGGAAGAGTCAAAACTACAATTTGACCCTTTAGACTCTTGCTTCCCAAATCCAAAAGTTTCTTTGACCTGCAAATTTAGAGTGCTAAATAATTATTAGTGTACGGTAATAATACCAACACCTGCAGAGATATACAAACCTCTTCCTTGGCAGCAGACACTTTTTGCCCCATGTTAGCATATGCCTGTAGTAAAAAATGTATGATAACCAATTACTGTATTGAAGATATTGATTGCTATATGAAAAACTTTTAAATAAGATCAGCTTTAGATGCTGGGGAGGAGTCAGGCTGGACTTTAACACCTTGGTAGGGCCTGGAAGGGGTAAGTCAGACTGTCGCATTTGCAAGATTAGGGCTTTGTTTGGTAGCTTAATCTGTCTAATTCTGCTTATGAGCAGAATGAGACAATGAGTAGATTAAGAACATTTTCACTAACGTATTGCCCGTTTGGTAAATTTTTTAGGGTTTTCAGCCATATTTTTAACCAAAGACTAACTTATCTCACTTAATACATAACCACCAGCTTAATCTTCTGACAACGTAAAAAAGTACCATTAAAATTATTTTTAATAGATACAGCTTAAATTAATAAAATTGGTACTTGGACTGTCACTTTGAGATACTTATTTTGAACAAATATTTTAGAAGATTTAACAAATGCATCCATTTCAGCCACATATTAAGCAAACTCCTGTCACTTACGCCACCAACTTAGGCCTTACCAAGTGGAATCTTATTTGGTTGAAATGGATGTCACCAAATTTTCTTTTATAGAATTCAGCAGATATGAGTCACATCTAGACAGGAAGTTTTGTAGGACAGAGACAAAACCATGCTTAAAATAGGCACCTCTCAGCAACTAATTTAACATATTTGTAAAGAATCATCATATCAGCAATAGCTTCCAGACTTCCCGTCACCTTTTGATTGCAATCTAAACAATAACTAGCAACAACTCAAGGAACTTAAGGCTTGATAGGTTAAGGGATAAACAAAAGGGGAGATAGCAACAACTCAAGTCACTTAAGGCTTGTTAGGTTAAGGGATTTCAATATGGGAGGGGAGGGAATAATTGATTTTTGTTTTACTAATATATCTTTATTTGTTAGCCTTATACTCCCTCCGTCCCGCTAAGATTGTCTCATTTTACCTTTTCGGGAAATCCCACTAAGATTGTCTCGTACTAAATTTGGTAAAGTTTGTGTGGCTCTAAACCATTCTTACTTTATTCTTACTTTATCAATTTAATATCAACCACACAAACTCACTTTTCTTAATAATCGTGCCACCTTCTCTTGTCCCAATCTTAGTGGGACGGAGGTAGTATTTGATACTAACTACTCGGAATATTTATAGTTAAATAATGTATTCTTATTTAGGTTTTCGTCTCCACTGTCTTTCCAACAACCCAATGAAGATGCATGAATAAATCAAATATTACTCCTCCTCTCCCCTTCCTTTCAAAACCCCCCAACCAAGCAAGGGCTAAAGCAACCCCCAAGGAGATTCCACTTCCTACCTTTTTAGCCGTACACTCAGCCTCTGTCCAGACACCATCCACACGCTTGTAAAGTTTCTCAGTAGTCTGCTTTGTTCTGCACTTCCCAATTAATCACTTCATGTAAGCTAATAAAGGGCTACGAAATTTAGAAAACATGGTTGCATTTTAATTCATAAGCTACCTTGCTTTAAGATCTTCTTTGACTCCTTTCAGCTCCTCTGCTTTCTCTTTCAGATCCTTGACTGACTGTTGAAATTCCTTGTTACTACAACCCATGAGATTTAGAATCAAGTTGACGACTTTAAAATGTAAGAAAATATGAACAAACTCGAAAAGGACATCTTCACAATTCTAATACTTACTCGTGCACACTCATACATACATGCCACAAAAAGTAACTGCCAACATTATAAATCATTTTGAATAGGTTAAGAAAAGAAAATTTTAAGCTATTTGTCATTGTTTAGAACTAAGTAAGTAAAAGGAACAGCGTGAAGTTTTCTTTGAGTAGAAACCAGAATTCTAATTGCTTGTCTTTCTTAACATTCTACGGATCTGTCGGGTAATGGATTTGAAAACGTGTTTTTGATTTGATAATTGATAATGATGTGCTTTCAAAATCTACTTCTAGGCTTGCAAATGTTGTGGTTCAGAACAGTGTTCTTATGAGTGTTGGATGGTTGTTTGATTATACTTTGTTAGAGTGCTTTGATATTTTTGAATTGTACAAGATTATTAAAAGGAAAAACGAGATGTAAGATGTTATTCTAATCCATAGATGGCAAAATACAAACATCAAATAAAGAAGTTAAATTTTTGGATTTTTTACTACAGTATTTAGCAAGCGTTTTGAGCTTTATCAAAATGCTCTATCAAATGCTTATCCTCTAAAGGATGAAATGTTTTACTTAAGATGATTCCAAAAAGCCAAATACCCCTTAGGAAAAGCTGAACACTCATGCCGCACAGGTCCTGGGACTCAGGAATGTGCACTTCAAATAGATATTAAAAAATCTACGGAGTATTAAAGTTCCAAACTTTAATAGTTTAACCCAACATGTCAGTGCCAAATGAACTAAAATAAACCATTTCTACTTTACAAGAGCATTTACCTGTTAACATTGCCTTTTAATTTCTGAGAAAACTCATTGAATACACTGAGTTGTCGATTGCCCTCATATCTATATCCCTATAAATAAAAAAGAAAATAAAACCATCACTTATATTATTCAATAAAAAATGAAAATTTAATAAAACCAAGAGCGGGAAAGGAGAAACCTGATGAGGCTCTAATAGCTTATGAAAAAAGGGTTGTCTTGTGGAGAACAAAAGATCTCGAACTAACTTTCGGCTAGCCATTGAGTCTGCAGATGAGTATTACACTTTGTACACGTACGTATAATCTTACATTATTAGTTTATTACCATCTTCTACCTTTGCAATTTCAAGCAAAATCTGTAGCAGAAAGAAGAATGATGAGCAAATTACACTGTTTTCGTATTGTAAAGACGCATTCTTTTCAAATTGTGCATCAACCCAGTATCTATCTCGAATAAATAAGCATTTTAATTTGTAGGCGTTTAGAACCAAAGAATCAATACAAGTAAGTAACAAGGCAATCAAAATAAAACACAAAAAGTGTATCGAAAGAAGAAGAAAAAAGCATACCTTCGGCAATTTATGTAGTTTTTAGATATGGTGCAGTGGAGGTTGATTGAGAAGTGAGAAGTGCGTTGAAGCAAGCTAAGGAAGAATGGGCGAAGGATTGAACAAGAAGAATAACCTAGACCAGATGATGGCTACGAATTGAACCGGCTTGTGGTCGGGTTAGTGTCTCCAATCGAAATCAGTGCAGTGGAATATTGTTACCCAAGCCATCTTGCTGCTAATTTGGTACGGTCGAGCATCGGATGAAAGTAAATTTACTTACGAACTATCGAGTATAAATTTCAAAACCACAAGTTTAAATATAAAAATAAATTAAAATTATTGGATAAACATATTTTTAAGCAGTGTTTACAAATGATTTTTTTTAATCCCGGTACAAATGATTAAAAAAGCATTTTTCAGCTTTTTGGGGGTAAAACTAAAAATGGTATTTGACAAAGAAAAATTAGGGATTTTAGCACGTTTTCTTTTGGATTGAAATTCACTGGTCTGGTCTGGGTTGAAAACAGTACAAAAGAGAACATCACAAATCCCCTCGTGAAATATGAATTCAACACATTAGCTCTTTGTGATTTAAAAAATGTGCTAAATCCTTCTGTATTATAGTTATTCATGCGCAAACCCCCTCCAAGAACAAATTTAATTGCCAAATAAATGAAAAATGATTAGTTTTTTATATAATATAGAAATTTTGAAAAAGTTAATTGCATTCTTGATCATATTATTAAGAAAAGTGGTTTCAAAATTGTAAAATTTGTTCTTGGGGGAGGTTTTGCGCATGAATTGTTAGATTATTGGACATATACTACATGTAATATTCACAGTATATTATTTATTGAGTTTAATTGCATTTATATGTTATCTTATATTTAGACCCAAAAATTAGTTGTCATATGGATATTAATTTAAGTGAGCTAATATGTTATCTAATAAAGTATAGGGCCCAAATGTGTAGAGAGTCGTGGGCTTAACCTAATTAATGATGGGGTGATTAGGGTTAAACGTTTCTATAAATAGAGTGATTATGGTCCCTAGTTGAACACGTCATTCCGTCTTTCTGCATCCCATCGCTAGAGAGATAATTCCTGAGGGTGTGTATCAACTAGAAGACGCAAACCCTAGTCTTTGTCTCCCGGATCTCTAAAGATAATCTCCAATGGAGTCAAGTACGCTTCCGCTCAGTTATTTCTCTAGGTAATTCCAATATGAAGATTAAAGGATTCATGGATTTATTCCAACATGAATAACTAAAACATAGGAGATTTGACGCATTATTTAGATCATATGAGGCTAATGCGCCGAATTTATATTTCTCAAGAGGCTTGATGCTTTAAACCCAGAAAATTTGTGCTTAATTTATAGGATAAATCTACATATTAAAACCGATTCTGCTCCTCCGGCGAATAGAAGCAGTCAAGTAGAAATTGGAGTGTTGGGCGAAGCAAGCTTAGAACCTGGGGGAGACCAACACAGAAGTTGGGGAAGATCCGCTTCTGAAAAAATAATTCTGATTTTGCTTCTATGCTTAAAAAAGAAACATAAACAAAATCAATTTCAAACACTCACTAAATCAATTTTTTAGGCAAAAGCATCAAGCTACCTCAGGCATGTTTCAGTTACATCTATTTTTTTTTTGTAAATAAATCAAACTTTGTGGATAAACTGTATCCCTCACTTTTTTTTAACCCGGAAGGTAGATCATTCATCGGTGGGATAAATGTTGAGGAACATTTGCCAAATTTTACTAATAATAATAAAAAATACAATAGGAGAGGGGGTCGAACCAAAACCTCTTCGGAAGACATACCTTCTCGGCAAATATGAAATAAAAACAAAACAAGCTAAATAGAATTTTTGGGGCCGGGGACTAAGTCATTCCCAAAATTAAAACAAGAAGAAAAACATGAGTAAAAACTAATCTACGGAGATTTGAAATCAAAATGAAGGTGTGAAATTCTGAATATTTGTGATATATTATAATCTCAGAATGATAGGATACTTATACAGCCTATTGAGGAGAGAATCTAAGACATTAAATATACGTGATACTGGTTGTTGAGGTTAAATCTCGCAGATCCGAAAGCCCAACACGAACTTTGGATATATCAGGAATGGATCAGAATCAAAGTGTATAACAAAATATAAAAGATGTAAGAAAGCGAAGGCTGCTCTGGCTGCGATGCAAGAGAAGACTCGGCGTCGCGATCGGGAGATTAAAGAACTCCGGGCCAAGGTGCGGGCTGTTGAATCTGCCGGGGTAAAATTTGATAAGGTCAATGGTGACAATCTTCCCGAGCCTTATACTGCCAATACTTCCCAGATTGCCAATCAATCAATAGTTGACTACCAATGGGGTAAAGGGCTGAACGTCGCTCTGGAGAATACAGCCCGGCAATTCCTGGGACCTCATCTTGGCCAATTTTTGCGCGAAAGCGAAGATCCCATTAAGGCAGGCATCGATCTCCTAGACAGCACGCCGGAAGGGAAATCTATTCTAGATGTCCTGACCGAGAAGACTGTGAAACAAAGTCAGGATCTGCTTTTAGACAGGAACCTTGATCTGATCCTGGAGCATTTCCCTAAGCCATTCGATCCTGATGAGTTGGGATTTGATGATCTGTTCGGGAATACCTATGATCGGGTTATGGAGATGAGAAAAGAAGCAGTGCCTGATGATGCAGCGTAGGCAGGGAGCTCCCAACCTTTATCTTCCCCGAACGGTGATTCTCCAGCAACGTAGCCTTGTATATTTATCTTTCGCCTTTTCTTCTTTTTCTTTTGTATCTTCCGGTTAGTAGTGCCGCAGAATAAACTGGATATTTTCCTTTAACCGTGTTGAAGTATTGCTCTTCTGTTTTTTTTATTTTTGTCATTTCTCTCGTTCATAATAATTTCTGTGTTGCCGAACATCACTCGGCTCATGTATCTCTATATTTCTGACATTGTTTCCAAACCGTTTTGATCCCTCTGTTCGGTCGTAAGGCCAGGGTCAAATTCTTTTAGTTGAAATAATGTCTTCCTCCAACACATTAAGACGTTCGTCATTCGGTCATCTCTCTGAAAGTTCCGATTCTCCGGACGACAATCCATGTTACCGAACGTCGTTCGTTTTGACAATACTTATTCCGACACCCTTCCCAATCCGGTTTTGATCCCTTTATCATTCGTGATCCACGGGGTCAAAAATCTTTTAGCTGAGGTGAATCCCTCCAAGCCGTTGTGATCGTGATCACATGGTCAAGTTTTCAGCTGAGATGGCGACTCCCTCCAAGCTGTTAACACGTTCGTCATTCGGTCATCCGGAATGATCCCACGTGTTAACCAACTGAGGTGAGACTCTCTCTCTCTTCCAAACCTATAATTCCAATGCATTCCGAACAAATCTCTCTGTCTCGTATCATCCATATTAGGGGTCTGAGGTAACCCTTTTCAAACTGTAAGCAAGGTCACCAGATCGGGTTATTCCTTACTGATGGATAGTGTACCCGGGGCAGTCCCTCAGTTACCCACATGTCGGGACTTGAGGGGGCATGTTTACTGTTTGCGGGATTTTTTAGCATTTTGCATTTTCTTGTGATTTTTCCCGAGGGGGGTTCTCCAGTCCCCCACTCCTTGAGGCACTTGCAAAGTGGTGAAAAGGAGTAGAGTAATCATGTTGCTATATTGGGCCGAAGGCTGACGCTTTTCATTTCATTTTGGGGGGATGTCTCGTTAAAAACCTCATTAGGAAAAACCCTGTGGGAAAAATCCTAATGAGGGAAAAAGAGTGCACCGAATTCCCCTAACGATGAATCGAAAATGTGAAGCCCTGGTTTGAAATGGAGTATAATACTGAAGCCGAAGGCTATCCTTATTCTGAGGGTGCGGGTGTTGATTATCCGGAGGCTTGCTGTTGATATTCTTGGAGGTGCCGAAGGGGAGTCCCTCAATCTGGGGATCGAGGGCGTGATGAATGTGAGTAGGAGTTGAAGTGTTACCGGGGGTGTCCCCTGTTTGTTGATCAGTTGGTGAGGAGGGTATCCGAGGGTTCCCGTTACCTATGTGTTGTAGGCTATCCGTCAATGAAGCATACTCCCCGGGGGCTACCCGGCCCTCAAAGTGCTGAGGGGGGATCCCCGAGGGGTGTGCCTGTTATGAAGTCGTGGGCTTCTGAAGGAGTGAGCCCGAAGGCATTTGTTATGTAGTGTGAGGGGCACAAACCGGGAGCGTCTCTGGGTAAGTGTACCCAGGGGCTCTTCTTGATGAAGTGGAGTGAAGTAAAAAGCCCGAGGGCTAGTTCCTTGGTTGATGAAGGAGCGGGCTGCTAAGTATAGCCGGAGGCTCCCAGAATATAGCCGTTGTGAATATAGCCGTTGGAATACCTAACGTCAAAATATAGTTGTTGGGGGAGCTTCCACGTGGTGCGTGCTCGTTGGCTGCCCGTGGGCGGGTGTCACCGATTGGGCAACACGTCGGTTGGTAATGATGATTTTGTACCGGAGGCCCGGTATTCAGGCCCAAGCCCGGATTTGGGCGCCTATAAATACCCCATGGCCAGGCCGCTTTACTCTGTGTGATATCATTGTAGCGAAGCTCTGTCCAAATTCCTAGAGAGAGAAACAGCTGCCTTCGATCAATCAATCTTCCGAGGTCAGTTCTCCGCCCATCTGTTGTAGCATTAGTGAGTCGTAGTTGTGTGGCCTTAGGTTAAGTGTTTAACTGCCTTAGGAAGCCTCCTGCCTTAGAAACCCCTCATCCCTTGGCAGTTGAGGATGTCTTCGCAAAGTGACTCTCAAAATATCTCGGTGGCTCCCTCGATGGAGGAGGAAATCATCTCGGACGTGGAGTCCACAAGTGAACAGCCCTCAGTGGGACAAAATGTCGTTGTAGCGATGGAGCTGCAGAGAGCCCTCGTCGCCGAGGTGGAAGTCGAGGGCTTCGAACAAGAATGAGAGGACGAAGAGCTGGCCCTCGCCTGGCAAGTAGCTGAGGAAGAGGCGCAGAGAGAGGGCGTGAGGGTCACCGTCGCTGTTCTCCCCCCTCGGGGCACTGGTGAGGCCAGCACCTCTCGGCCGTTGAACGTGGTTCCCCTCCGGGTGGCCCCCGGGAAAAAGAAGACGAAGGGTGCTGCTTCCAAGAAGAAAGGCAGCGTCGCAGACCAAGGGAAGCCCCTCGATATGCCCGGGGGGTATTCCTACCTGAATACCGCCGCCTTAGAGATAAGGTCGAAAGCTGATGAGGCGGATCTCTATGTCAC